CCCCCCCCCCCCCCCCCCGGGACAACAGAGAGCAGGAACCCGGCTCCTACTTGTGCAAAACAAGAAGGGTTTGGTTTTAAATAATCCTTCTTTGAAAATGTTATTTATTTATTTATTTATTAAAGCAATTTATATGGCCGCCCAACTGACTCCGGGTGGCTTACAGGAATAAAAATCCCAAATACAAAACTCACTCCATTCACCCACCCCGGCGACAACAATACATTTACATCTATGCAGTTACTGGGGACAGGAAGCTATTTCTGTTCTCATTCTCAAAAGCCAGCAGGAGCCCTCAGCTTTAATGTGACACCCCATCTGAAAATCACATTAGCTGGGCATTCGGAGAGAAGAATAAATCTGGGGACTACACCTGGGCAGTGCAATTTGTGATTCAGAAATATTCCTGCATGCTCCATTGTGAATAGTGACACTCTTTCATTAATACTTGATCATGAAAGTCAGATTGGATCAGAGTAAAAACAAAGGAAAAGAAAATAGCTCGTCCCCCATCTTCAGGGCAAGGTAGAGTGAGTGAATAATGTCGTATGTAAAAGGAGAGGACTTCTCTATACTAATTTCCGTTGTATCATCTAGAATGTTATAAATGTCTACGATTTCTACAATCTCAACCTGCCTTGGGTTAGTGTTCTTTCTTCCACCTCCCTGAAACTAAAAAGCTTCCACGGTAGGTCATCTTTCGTGGCAAGAATAAGCTTCATCTTTCCCATCTCCTACTTGATGATGCCATTTTGGACACAAAGCAATTAGAAGAGAATACTCTATGCCATTGTAATATTCTACGAGAACCCTCTCAATGCTTATTAACTGAATTCCTGTAAAATTATGGTTTGCTTAACCATTGGAAAAAGCCTCAACTGGTTGGGCTCATACTATATAGCATGCTAAATTGTAAATCATGGTTTGCAAACTGCAGTGGTTGGTCTCACACTTTACGCTAAGCCAATAAATAATATAGTGTTCAATAGTATTCTGTCTCTGACCATCCTGGTTCTGCATATCCATCACAATCTCGTTTTTAAACCATATAATTTTTTACCATTTAGAAGCAAATGCCCCGAACACACTTTCCAATGTCGCTTGTTGATTCAGAAACAAAGGCTTGATGGTTAGGTTCACACATTACAATAACCCCAAAAGATAAAGCTTTATGGCTTCATAGGATATAGGAATCCTTCCCACTCTAAGTGCTTAAGAGCTGTTTCGCACACGATGAAGACAAAAAATGAGAGATATCTTCCAGCATGTCTACAGATTTAAATTTATCAAAATATTAACACAAACTAGATTAAACATACTTGAAATACAGCACCTACTTTGGGAGCAGTTACTCCAGGTTTATAACGCGAGAAACAGCAGGCTTGAACAAAATGTTTTCAGTAAATAATTATGGAATAATTGTTTTGGGCTTGGCCTGGCCATCTAAAATCCTTAAGGCTAACAAAAGCAGTTCTGGATAATAATTTTGCTTCATATTAAGAACCAATTCTGTTGGTTTGATGGAAATTACTGTAGGATGATTGGTTTCACAATCAAAGCGCCTCCCTAAATATATGAATTTCCACACTTCAACAGTGTGATAATTGTTATTGTGCAGACTACTGTAATTATGTTCAGCATGGGCTTTTCCTTATGGAAAGCTTATCACATCTACAGCCTCAAGAACCATCTCTAATGGGCTGCTGATTTTCAGTGCTCATAGATGCAGAATTCATGAAAACACAAGTTACGTGCATGACACGTATATGGAAATGAAAGATTCTCTACACACAGCAGTACAGAATTTGCCAAGACCTTGGCATCTTCACATAAGGTGGAAAGATTCCTGTTTAAAACCTGATGAATCAATGCAATTCAGCAATTTTATGCTAGATGGACCCATGTTTTGATTGAATGCAGAGCAACATCATACTTTTGATAGCAAATTCCATCGTGGAATCCATTAAGCAACTCCAACAAATTCCCCATCCTCTTGCCCTCTAGGTCTTTGGGACTTCAATTCCCCTCATTCTGAACCAGTCCAAGAAGTCCCAGGACATTTGCTTCTTCAAGGCACTTGAGAATATTGTATGGAGTCAAGTGGCATGGAAGTATGGTTCCCAGAGCGTTAGGCAAGCAAGATGGCACCTTGACTTGTGATGCTGAAGCAGAGGTCTCATACCGTTAGAGAAACATTGCTACTTTTAAGGCAACACAAATGAAATCTGAGGAAGGAGAGAGATACTGTAGTGTGGTCAAATGTGAAGATTCAAGAGGAGGTTGATCAGGGCTTTGGCCTACCACATTACTGAAACACAATAATATTAATTTATTTGGCACTGGACATGTATCTACTTTCTGATTTTTTTGGGTTGTGGGTGGTGGGACAGTTAGTGGTCAGGTCCTTCAAATGTAGCTAAGGAGATCCATCCACTATTACAGAGTACCTAACAAGCTACTCATCCTAAGCAAACATTAAACACAGTATGGATAATATGGCTGTTTGCTTCAAATATAGCCTACTGCAACTTAGATGCTCAGTTCACACACAAATTCAGTTCACGCACAATTATCTCCCAGCTGTATCCAGATGCTAAAAATAGAACTATATTGGATCCAAAAGTTTTATTTCCATGTAAGCAAACTATTCATTTATTGACATCTATATGGTTCTTCTGAAATTCCCCATCATGTTTCTGCCAAGTGAACATCTTTATTGTGTTTAATATGCCGTATGGTGTAGAACGAGATCCAACATGCACGATGAAAAGCAGGGAGGCTGTGCCAAATATTTCCTAATGAAAAAAAAAAAAAATAAATCCAAGCAACCTATATTTTATTAAGCCTGCTGCTTATTACCTACTTTGTTAGTATAAAATCTGATGTCAGACCCTTCAATAAACTGCTGAAGTAAATATAATGCTTATCGGCCAGCAGATTATTTATGTGCTATAGATTTATTCACTTTTTCCCTGAAGAAGAAACTCTGATTCAACTTCATTAAAAGTCCAACTCACGTAACCACATTTAAATGACAGGACGATTGTTAAAATCCAACACAACTTGATTCCGTTAGCATGGAATCCAGGCCTAGAAATATTCCAGTGGGTTTTTGGATCCCATCTCCTGGAAGTGAAATATAAATTGCTTTCTATAAGCCATGATTAAAAACTATCGAAAACATCAGAAAGCTTTACTAGGGAACACAAAGTAGAGAACTGACATTATCTGACACTGAGAAATGACACTATCTTCTAAAAGCAAATATGATATTTCCTTTCGTTTGAAGAACATTTACCCTATGGAAAAACACACAATTACCTAATATTGTATTTTTAGGGCAAGATAAGGACAAACACTTGGTTATCCTCCATGCTTCTCTGATGCAAATTTCTAGTTAAAAAAGTATACCTTGGTGGTATTAGAGGAACTGATCACAAAAATATGCAGTAGTAAACCCCCCATGCATTATAGTAAGAAAATTGCTTGCAAATATAAGCAAAACTGTATAAAAATGAATATATTACAAAACACACATTAAAAATGCATTTTTTTTCCCAAAAGCCAAACTGATAAAAAAGCAGGAGGAGTGGCAATTGGAAAGGACTGAAACAACTGTTATCCGTCTTATTGAACTATCCCCACCTCTAATTTTTTTAGCTCACATTTTGTGATGCCAAGAAAGACTAGGGGGTTAAAATTCGGAAATTTTAGGAGTGGGCAAGGAGTAAAAAAATTGAAGAGGGTTTTTGACTTTTACTTAGAGCACCTCTTCATGGCCATTATTTTTTCCACTTCCAAATCATCCTGAGAATAATGGTGGGGTTAATTATGGGAGGAAAAAAAATGTAGCCTACCAACTATAGCCATCAGAATCAGCTCTTGTCTTATCAATTGCTAGAATGTATAAATGCAAGTTCTTCATACATTGTGATATGGATGAAGGTTATCACAACCTGTTGGGAACCTAAGGCTCTTCAAGCAATTTTAAGTAGTATTTTAGTGTATATTCAGAAAAAAAACGAGCATAAGGGTAAGTGTGCATTTGTACAAAACTGCCTCCAGAAATAGATAGATAGATAGATAGATAGATAGATAGATAGAAAGAAAGAAAGAAAGAAAGAAAGAAAGAAAGAAAGAAAGAAAGAAAGAAAGAAAGAAAGAAAGAAAGA